TCACCGTGACTACGAGCTACACTCTCTTGACTTCAACACTGCCTTCCTGCAGGGCAGCCTGCACGAGGAGATCTGGCTGCACCGCCCACTTGGCTTCACTGGGACTTTTCCTCCTGGCACCCAGTGGAGCCTCCGGCGGCCAGTCTACGGTCTCCGCCAGGCACCGCGTGAGTGGCACGACACACTGAGGACTACGCTTGCGGCTCTTGGGTTTGCTCCCTCTACTGCCGACCCGTCGATGTTTCTACGCACCGACACTTCTCTGCCGCCGTTCTACATCCTCGTGTACGTCGACGACTTGGTCTTTGCCACAGCTAACACTGCTGGACTCGCCTACGTGAAGTCTGAGCTGCAGAAGAGACACACGTGCACAGACCTGGGTGAACTGCGCAGCTACCTTGGCTTGCAGATCACCCGGAACAGAGCACGCCGCACCATCACCCTGACTCAGTCACACATGGTGCAGCAGGTCCTTCAGCGCTTCGGCTTCACGTACTCCTCGCCTAAGGCCACTCCTCTGCCTACTCGCCACTCGCTCTCAGCTCTGCCTTCGGATGAGTCCGTAGAGTCGAGTGGCCCGTACCCAGAGCTTGTTGGCTGCCTCATGTACCTGATGACCTGCACACGACCTGACCTTGCATACCCTCTTAGCATTCTCGCACTCTATGTTGCTCCTGGGAGACACAGACCATAGCACATGGCTGTAGCGAAGAGGGTGTTGCGCTACTTGTGCAGTACGTCGGGCATGGGGCTAGTGCTTGGAGGGCGGAGTCCAGTGGTCCTCACTTGTCACGCAGACGCTTCTTGGGCTGACGATCAGGCTACACAGCGGTCGTCACAGGGCTACACCTTCAGCCTTGGTTCCGGCTCTGTTTCATGGCGGGCTACTCGCTCGTCTTCTGTTCTCGGCTCCAGTTGTGAGGCTGGTATCTACGCAGGGGCCATGGCTGCTCAGGAGCTTTGCTGGCTCACCTACCTACTGACCGACCTTGGAGAGCCGCCTCGTTCTCCTCCAGTCCTGTACGTAGACAACAAGGCCATGCTGGCCTTGTGTCGAGAGCAGAGACTGGAGCACAGAACAAAGCACATTGCTCTCCGCTACTTCCTTGCTCGTGAGCTACAGCTGCGTGGTCAGTTGCGGCTTGCGTAGGTGGCCTCTGAGGCCAACACTGCTGATGTCTTCACCAAGGCACTTGCGCCTTGTGATCATCAGCACTTCTGCACCCAGCTGGGTCTTGTACCTGTCTTGCCTCACTTGCTCACCTCTTGACCTTGCCTGTACTGTTACATATATATATACCTGTTCTTGCTTGTCTAGCCTTATATATATATGTACTCCTGCATGTGAACTGGCCTTGTGGCCCTGAACTTGTGCTCGGAATGTGTGGTGACTTTGTGATCCACCCTGAGCTTGCTCTGCTTTGCTTTACTTGACTGGTCTTGTGACCCCTAGTTCTCCCCACTTCGCCTATGGGGGTGTGTCAAACATTATATATGTAGTGCTTGTTTAGGCTACAGTGGGTTAGCCTATAGGGGGTACACAATTCTAGGGTTAGGTACTTGTACTGATTTCACTGTTAGTTCAATCATTCCTGTTCATTCATTTCAACAGGCGTCGGGGCCGGGAAGGGCAGCGCCGGGGCCGCAAGGAGGCGACGGGGCCGCAGGTAGGCGACGGGGCCGCAGGTAGGCGACGGGGCCGCAGGTAGGCGACGGGGCCGCAGGTAGGCGACGGGGCCAGCAAGGGCGGGGCCGGGTCGGGAAGGGCGGCGCGAGGGCCGTGGGGTAGGCGACGGGGCCGAAAGGGCGGCGAATCGGGGCCGGGAAGGGCGGCTCGAGGGCCGCGGGGTAGGCGACGGGGCCGCTAGGGCGGCGGATCGGGGCCGTCAAGGGCGGCGCGACACATTGAGAAAGGGGGAGCGCGACTCGGGCAAGGGCTGAGCGCGCTCCGGGCAGGAAAAAAAAATCGAATCGGTGGGCCCCAGGAACAGTTCCCACGAGGGAACCTGCTTGATACCATGAGAAAACTGAAATGAGAATGAATGCACTATGAAAGAGTAGGGTACAAGTACTAACCCTAATTGGGTTGTACCCCATATGGGCTACCCCACTACAACCTACACAAAAGCATAAGCTATAATGTTCTGACAGGTTGGGTCGGGCGAGCGGCGTGACCTGTCAGTAGAGGGCCCGTCAGCTACTGACTCCCAGCGTTTCCCTGCTGCTTGGTCTGTTTCTGCTGCTCAGCTTCCCCCTTTCCCTTAGCGTTTTCCGGGCATTCGCTCTTGCGATGTCCCGGCCGATTGCACGCAAAGCAGCGCCCTTTGAACGGTGCGGCAGCGGCATTTGCGGTGACGGCACGTATCGTGGCGCCCTCGTTCGTCCCACGAGGCCGATGTCCCCAATGGCTGCTTCCGTAGGACCCCGGTCTCGGTCGGCGGAAGAAATCAAGTTTCTCCGCCATGGCGAGAATTTCTTGAAAGTCAGTGACGCTGCGGAGCTGGATTTCCTGAGCGATGTCCTGCTTCAGGCCGCCGATGTAGCGGTCGATGCGCTCGCTCTCGTGCATATATCCCACCTGCCCGCATAGCGCCAGAAATCCGCTCGTGTAGTCTTGGACGGAACCGAGTTGGCGCCAAGTGCGGAGCTTCTGTCGCGCCGCGATCGAAGCCGCGATTGGCTCGGAACGAGCACGCAGACCTGCGCTCCACGCGTCCCACGTGCGAGACTGGGGCACCTCCACGAAATGCGACGGCGCCCAGGGTCCGGTCTGTCCTTCCCTTGTCGGTAGAGTTGCGTAGTCCGCCGGCTTCGTGACGATGACGCGCCACCAGGCCATGGCGGGTCCTCGCAGCAACGACACGGCGTAACGAATCTTCGCCGTATCCTCCGAGACGTTGTTCACGTCCACGAAAACGTTCAACGTGAAGAGCCACGCCTGAACGGTAGGACCACCTCGCTGACTTGGGTCAAAGCATGGCGGACGCTGCGGCTTTAGCGGCATCGGCGACGGAAGAGTTGATCCGCCGGCCGGCACTGAAATCGTGACTTGAGGCTGAGTCATGGCCGCATTCGTCGCGTCGAGGTGTGTTGTGCCGTGGTCGTCGTCTCCGTCATGGCGGACGACGCCATCACTTGCGGCGCTCGCGGGTTGCCCCACACTTCCGTGCTGTGATGTTTGTGGTTTGGGCTGAATCGAAGTGCCAGGTGCTTGGGATTGTGCTCGTGTGAGGTTGTTTTGTAGGGACGAGCGTTCTGCCGTCAGCGTCGCGATTTCCTCGGCGCTCTCGCGGATTTGTCGCAGCAGATCGTTCAAGTGCTCCTACGTGAGTGTCGTGACGTCGATGTGTTCAGCCATTTCGAAGGGCGTCGGCTCGTCTTAGTCTAGGCGCAGTCGTGGCTGTACGCGTTTACGAGAGAACGCGATGACAGCGGCTCCTAGGTGCTAAGGTACGTGAGTCCCTTCGAGTGAAAAATCAAAAGTTGATTTCCTGGGGTGCGGAGATGCGCGGTCCGAAAGAAAGAGGCTCTGAATACCAAGTGTTACGGGTGCAATGAATCGAACTAGCGAGAATTGCACTAAGATGTCAAACGAGTACAAAATGTGAGCGAAGGCATGAGCGAACAATTATAAGCGAAACATGCAAACGGTAACGCGGTGCGTGCGAGCTAGCTAGTGCTACGCCGGAGCGAGGCTCGGGCTAGTCCCGAAGCGTAGGCCGACACGGCCAGGCCAGCAGTGCGAGGTTTGGTGAAACAGTGCGCGCGAAGTCGGCGAAGCCCCGTTAGCAGTAACGGGCGAACAACGGTTCCGTAAGGAATGCCGAGAAAATTCCTTACAGAAGAAGCTGGAAGCACACACAAATCGCCCTCCAATCTCCGGATTCCCGGTTCTTGTTTCCAGATTTCTGGCCAGAATGGATGGATGGGTCATCCCGTCGACTGCGAGATACCACTTCTTTTGTTTCCTGGAAACCCTACAGAAATTCTTTGGGTGGGGGGTCTTTGCGTCACACCTCACTGTTGCTTGATTTCGCTTCCAGAGGTCACATGCCTCACGAAAACATAACTACATAAGTATGTACAGTCAGGGAAGGATAGCCTTACAAGAAACAAACATTTCACAAACATCTCAAACACATCAGCAGCTCCGAGTCAAACGATTCTCTCCCGCACTTCTGCCAAATGAGCAACGGCCATTTGGTGAAACCGGTATGGCGGATGCACAAAACGGAGATTCACGGCAACAACTTCACCTCCACCACCAACGTTGTCTGGCCAGGGGGACCCACCCACCCCAACGGCTTTGAATCAGGAGCATTCCAGCAACCCGTGCAGGAGAGGACGACGGCAAGTTCTCAAGAGTAATTCCCAGCTCAAATTCAAGAGATTGGTTTGGAGTTCACCTGCGCCGTCCTCCTCTACCAAGTTCCGCCGCGCCCCCTCTGCCGCTCCTCACCGCCTGACATTCCGCAAATGGGTCCGACAACGCGTACCTCGGCGGCCGTGCTTAGCGGCGTGCTGCTGCTGCTGTGCTGCAGCAACATGGCCATGGCTGCCGTCATCGACCCCACTCAAGGTAAACCAATACAGCAATCACTGGTGCAGACCTCAGTCGACCTTACAAAGGAGGAATCTCAGTGTATTCACTTAAATCTGGATAAAAGGAGGAGTCTTTAATGCTATTCTTGCTGAAAACATCTCATATCTGTTCCCCCCTGAGATTCGTCGTTGCTCACGCGACTTGCTCGACCCGTCTCTCAATTCAATCTCGCTCAGCGATCTTCCTTTTGTATGCTATATCCCGGCACTTTCTGCCGTCCGTATCCTACGGCTTTGCCTGGTCGCTGGCCCCATGATTCCTCGTTCTACTCCCTACTCCCCCTCACGTTCCATTCTTTTTCCCCCTTCCCCGTCATTCGCGTCCCCGAGTCTTCGTTCCACGACCGACTTTTTTGTTTCTCGCCTGTCTTCGTTTATCGCCCCTGCTCGGCGCGCAGTGACCATCCTGCAGGCGTGTCAGACGGCATGGGGCAAGACGTTCACGGGATGGACGGCAGGAGCGAACTGTGCGACGGCGGAGAAGATCACGTGCGACGCCGCAGGATACGTGACCTCCATGTGAGTCGCGACTCGCGACCCGCGCGATATAGACGGCGCGATATCCCGCCGCGGGCTGCTGTCTGCACCCGAGCGTCGTTAACCGGCATTTTCAATCGAAGAATGCCGGCAGTCGTTGCCGCAGCCTCCGTTGGAGAACTTTCTGCCCTTCCTCTCCTTGTCCATCTGCCCTCACTCCTCCCCTCCTTCCCCCCCCTCCTCCCCCCCCACCCCCCCCCCCCCCCCCTCTCTCTCTCTCTCTCTCTCTCTCTCTCTCTCTCTCTCTCTCTCTCTCTCTCTCTCTCTCTCCATCCCTCCCTCCCCGTGTCGTCTGCATGTCCCGCCGTGCTTTGCGGCAGGAACATGACAGGATCGGGGCTCAAAGGCAGCCTCCCGGACAGCCTATTCATGCTCGACAAGTTGACCATGCTGTGAGTGAAGGGTGACACGGGACATATGGGATGAATGGAAGAATAACTGGTCGTGCATGGTGATCACCATCGCGCGGCGAGAAGCGCAGATCGTGCGACGACGGGACCGGGAAAGGACGAGAGCGGGAGGGAGCGGGGGGGAGCGGGAGGGTGCGGGAGGGTGCGGGAGGGTGCGGGAGGGTGCGGGAGCTCGATGGGAGTCACGCGTGCTCGTCGCGCGATTCTCGGGCATCTCTGTCTTGCCACCCGCGCAGACGCTGTATCTTCTACTTTTCTCACCTCTCTTGTTTCTTTTGTCGTGTTTGCGTCGTGCGTGCGGGTATGCGCGTGTATGCGGGGTGTGCGCACGCATGCGGGTGTACCCGTGTGTGCGCGTGCACACGTGTATGCGGGTGCGCGCGTGCGTGCGTGCATGTGGGTATGCTGTGTGCTGGTGGGAGCAGTGACTTCACGTACAATTTTCTGACGGGCGGGATTCCCATCACCGTCGGAATCGCCAACAAGCTTCAGTGGATGTAAGTATCATGCCTACGCCGTGCTACTTTACCTCGCACACACCACCCTCGATCTTGCCGTCGCCCTCCACGCCCTCCTTCTCCTCCCCACCCTTTCGCACCGTCTTGCACCTTCTTGCGCCCTTCTTGCACCTTCGCACCCTCGCGCTTCCTGTTTCGCCATATCTATTCTTTGTATCCTATCACTTAAAAGTCGACTCAATGGCGCCACATCCTCCGCCTATCCTTCTTTCAAGCGCGCATTCCCGTGATACCCTTCGTTTCCTTCTTCTGACCTGCCACTCTCTCTTCTATATTCCCCTCTCGTATCTTCCCGCAAACACACGCGCAGCCACATCCATCCACGCGCAACGCGGATCCACCCAAATTGCTCACACAACTGTTTTCTTCTGTCTGCGTGCGCGTGTGCCTATGTGTGCGTGTGTGTTTGCGGTGAGTGCGTGAGCCTGCATGTGTGTTCATGTGTGTGTCCGCGCGTGCATGTCCATGTGCTTGTGTGCACATGCATGTGCATCTGTACGTACATGTGTGCGCATGGCACCAGGAGTCTGGCACGCAACAACTTCAACGGCATGGTCCCGCTACTCAACACCCTTGCACAACTCTCCTACCTGTAACCCTCCTCCTGCACTTCAAAGAAACCTGCAGCAGGAAAAATATAAACAGACATAATAAAATACCAATACAAAGGCGCCTCAAATCTCTTCCATCACTCATCACCTGTCCCAGTGCAGTCACGCTTCCTCTCTCACTTCAGCTCAGAAAACTCTTCGTCATGTCCCCGTTCCGGTCCTTCCCATGCCGCTCTCATCTGTAGCCCGCGCTCCATTTATCCCTGATGTGTCTCCGTGCGGCATGTGCAGTGCAGGGATCTCAACACCCAGTCGTTGAGGCTTGAGCCTAATGTTGTTTAAAAAAAAGAAAACACTTACACTCCATGTTTTTTTCTTCCTGATGGTGTACGTTGTCTGCGTGTTGTATGATGAGCAGGGATCTCAGCACCAACGGGTTCATAGGCGAGCTCACCAGCCTGCCCACTTCGCTCGCCTACTTGTGCGTGCCTCCCTCCCTCCCGCTTCTTACGCCCTCTCTACCTGCTTGCTGCAGCCTTCTCGCTCTCTTCCTCTCTTATCCGTTGTCCTCCTCTCTCTCTCTCTCTCTCTCTCTCTCTCTCTCTCTCTCTCTCTCTCTCTCTCTCTCTCTCTCTCTCTCTACTTCCCGGTCCCCGTTTCCGTTGCTCGCACCAACAGTCTCTTCATGTGTTTGCTAGTCATCATCATCACCAAGCCATCACAATGTCTGCATCAGCCGCCACCCCAGCCACTTGATCTAATGCATGTCCAGCTTGCGTCCCAAGCAAGGCCTGTCTTGCATTCACATGTCTCAAACCTCCCAACTCCTGCTCCTGCCCATGCGTGCGTGCGTGCGCGCGTGCCTCTCTTCTTCACCCCCATCCTTGCCGGATCCCCCTCCGTTCCCTCTCTTCCCTCTTTCTCCTGCTTCCCCCTCTCCCCGCTTCCTCCCCCTCTACCCCCCTTCCCTCTCTCCACTCCTATCTCTCCCCTTCCCCTTCCCTCAGGAACAACCCTCCACAGGGCCCGTCCCTGCAGGCCTCATTGACTTTTGAGTCGACTCAAAAGTCCCTTTCCGCTCCTCCCTTTCCCCTTCCGCCTCCTTTCCAGGAACGTGCAGTACAACCAGTTCACAGGGCCCGTCCCTGCGGGCCTCGCCACACTCAAAAAGCTCACCTACCTGTCAGTGCCTCTCCTGCTCCTCCGCATGCGCCCGCCCATGCCACCGGCAAGCACCCCTCCTCTCCGTTGAACGCACTGCATGACAGATTGCCTCTCCTCTTAAACCACAAACCCTGAGTTTCAAGTCCTGCCGATGTGCCTCACCCACTGCCCCACCCGCCGCCCCACCCGCTGCCCCACCCGCTGCCCCTCTCCCTTCCTCCCGCCCCTGGCAGCAACATGAAGTCCAACCAGTTCTCCGGTGTGCTCCCGCCGGCCCTGGGCAATCTCGCCACTCTGCAGACCCTGTAAGCCTTTCCGTCCAGCCTTGCCCCAGCCCTTGCCTTGCTCGCTCCTCTCCCTGCTCTGCTTCCACTGTTCTCCTCCCCTTGCTCCACTGACCGTGCTCTCCTCTCCCCCTCCTTCTCTCCGCCAGCTTAGCCACCTCTCCTCAAACCCCCACCCCCCCGCACCCTGTTTCTGTCTTGCCACCGCTTTCTCTCTCTATCATCTTCCCTCCCACCCCCTATCCCCAGCACCTTTCCTCCCCTACCCACTCGCCATCCCAATCACAACTCCTCCCACCCTCCCTCGCTTCTCCTCTCCCCACTTCCCCCTCCCCGCTCCCCTGTCCCTGCATCCCCCTCCTCTCCCAGCAACTTGGGTACCAACACTCTCACAGGCGCCCTTCCCGCAAGCGTCTCTGGCCTCGCCAAGCTCTCCATGCTGTCAGTACCGCTCTCACCATGCCACTCCCACCGTGCTGCGCGCCCCATGCCCCTACTGCTCTTTCCACGTTTGTTTATTTGTTTACTTGTTGTTGTTCTTTTTTTATTATTATTATTTCTTTCTTTCTTTCTAAGGATAAAATGCTCTATATAGCACATTGCATCCACAGTCGTAACTGTCTTTCTACCTTTGCACATTACACTGCCATGTCAAAGGGTGCTCCAGCTGCTGCTGCACTGCAGTGCAGTGCGACTACTGCCACTTCACAGTCTTCATGCTCATGCCGTTCCCCCCTTCCTTTGCACTCCCCCCATGCCGCTACTGTGTCATCTTTGCATATCACTCGGTGTCACTGCCGCTGCAGCTGCTGCACTGCACTGCACTGTGCTCAATCCATCGTCTTTCTGTTGCATGCTCAGATTGGAACCCTCACACAACAACTAATGCAACGAATCATTGGCATGGCGATGGTGTGACATGGCTTGGCATGGCATGTGACGGCATGACGTGGCATGGCGTGGCATGGCATGGGACGGCATGACGTGGCATGGCAATGGCATCGCATGGCATGCTGCAGTGACCTGGGTTACAACAAACTCAGCGGCCCTCTTCCCGCCACTCTTGGCGCCCTGCCTGCCCTCGAGTCCCTGTGAGCTGCTACAGTCTTGTTCCTGCTGCTTCCTCCAACAACCACTTACACTCCACACAATTCTTCTACCGATTTCTTCCTCCTAACGACACCACTTCAACCCTCCCCCCCTTCCACCGCACCCCCAAACTGATTAGGCAAGACACCTGAAGTCGTCCTCCCTCCTTGTCGCCTCTCCCTTCCGTTTTCACTTCATTGTCCCCATTTCCTTGCGTCCCCGCAACCCGCGCGCCCATCAATCCCATCCTTCTTCCACCTTTGCCCCTCATTGGCAGGCACACCACCCTTCCACGCCACATTCCACCATTCTGGCTGGCGTGGGAGGGATGGTGGCATGTCACCTCCCCTTGCTTAACCCCCACAACAACCTGCCCTCCCCTGGTTGCCATGGCAGCACGCTCAACAACAACGCCTTCTCAGGCCCCATTCCTCCCACGCTCTTCTCCCTCACCAAAGCTACCAGCCTGTACGCAGTGCCGCCAGCCCTGCCCCTCCCTTGCCCTCCGTCATTGCCCCACCATTGCTCCCCCCATTGCCCCACCATTGCTCCGCCATTGCCCCACCATTGCTTCGCCATTGCCCCAACCTTGCCCACCCTTGCCCCGCCCAATCTCGCTGCATAAACTCCTCCCTTGCTTCGTCTCCTCTGCCTCCTGGCCTCCTGTGCTGCCTCTGCTGCCTGTGCTGCCTGTGCTGCCTGTGCTGCCTGTGCTGCCTGCGCTGCCTGCGCTGCCTGTGCTGCCTGTGCTGCCTGTGCTGCCTGTGCTGCCTGTGCTGCCTGTGCTGTCTGTGCTGCCTGTGCTGCCTGTGCTGCCTGCGCTGCCTGTGCTGCCTGTGCTGCCTGTGCTGCCTGTGCTGCCTGCGCTGCCTGTGCTGCCTGTGCTGCCCTCGCGTGCTACCCGTTCTGTCCCACCATGCACAGGCTCATCAAGGCCAATAAGCTTACAGGCAGCATCCCTTCCACTGTTGGCGCCCTCGCTTCACTTGTCTACTTGTGAGTCTAGGACTACCAACCCGCTGTCTCCTTGCCATCTCATGTGTTCATTCATCTTTCTGCAGACATGTTTCTCTGTTCCGCCAGCCTTGCCAGTGTGTGATCCGTTGCTGCTGCTGCTGCTGCTGGGGCTTGCCGTTAAGAGTGGTTAACGTTTGTAGCATCCTTGCAAGCATTGCTACACTCAAGCATATCCTTAGCACTCTCCTATGTTTTCTTCTTTCTGTACCCCCTTACTCGTCCTGCCTGCGCCTGTGTGCGTGTGTGCTTCTCTGTCTGTCTGTCTGCCTTCCTGCCTGTGATCACTCACAGGGATCTGAGTGAGAACTCGCTCACGGGCACCGTGCCAGCGATCATGGGCAAGCTAGCCAAGCTCCAGCAGTTGTACGCACCTCTCACCTCTCACCGAGTCACACTCGCTTTCCAATTGCACAACAACCTCCACTTGCCATACCAAACCACGGTGCCACTTAGGCACCGTTTCACTTGCATGCCACATCCCTGTTCAACCATTCTCCCATCCCCCTCACTTCACCCCTCCCTTCAACCTCCCACCCCCATTCCTTCCCCCCTCCCCCCTTTTCTCCCCCTCTTCCCTTCCCCACCCTTGCGCTACGGCCTACGCCTTGTGGGGGCAGCACTGTGAACTCCACGGGGCCATCCAAGGTGCTGTGTGCGGCAGCGGGAGTGTGTGCGGTCAACCAGGTTGCCACCTCTGCCTTCTGCCAGACGTGCGCCACCTTCTGCCAAGTCTGCACGCCCCCTGGAAGTGAGCCCTTGAAACAAGCCTGGTTTCTGGACCTTGCATGCATATGTTTTCTAAAAGTTTTGTTTTCTGTATGACTTGTACTGTTCCCAGCAATTCATTGTGATCTTTCCTGCATTTTCCTTGTGTGGTTGATTCCTGCAGCGAACACTAAGTCCGCCGCGGCTCCTGCTCCTGCTACTGCGCCTCCCCCCGCTACTGCGCCTCCCCCTGCCACTGCGCCCCCTCCTGCCACTGCCCCCCCCCCCTGCCACGTCGCCTTCCCCTGCCATGCCCCTGCCGTCTCCCCTGCCATGCCCCCTGTCGTCTCCCCTGCCATGCCCCCTGTTGTATCCCCTGCCATGCCCCCCCCTGTTGTATCTCCTGCCATGCCCCCTGTCTTATCTCCTGCACCATCTCCTGCAGCTCCAGTCATTCCTCCTGCTGCTTCTCCTGCCCCCGCTCCTGCCCCCGTTTCTGCCGCACCTACGCCTGCACCCGCCTCACCGCCTGTAATCGCTCCTGTTCCTGCTCCAACCGTCGCTCCCCCAGTCGCATCTCCCCCCGCGCCTGCTCCTCCCCCCAACACAGCTTCTCCTCCACCTGCTCCTGTCACAGCTTCCCCTCCCCCCCTCAGTGCCTCTCCTCCTCCCAAGGTTGACCCTCCTTCTGCACCTGGCGCACCTGCCGCCACGGTGCCTTCTCCTCCTCCGCCTCCCAACGCTGGAGCTATTTATGGTGTTGGCGTTGGCACGCTGCTGGCCTCCCTGGTGTCAGCAATGGCGCTGAACATGCTGCTGTAGAAATACTACTTTGAGGTGGATTTGAGGGATAGACTGTGAATGGGGGGCGTGGGAGTAGTGTTTGTGACTGCTCGCTACCCGCTGTCATCTTTTTCAGAGTGTTGGTATATTATCGTGGCAAGGTTGAATGATTTTGTAAAATTATTATATACAAGATAGAACAGCAAACAAGATGGGAACAGAAAACAATGTGTACTATGTACCACAATGTCTTCCGACAAACTCAATAATCAGGTTTCCTGAGCACGCTAGCCCAACCTGCGGCGCGTATCAACCTGCGAGACCCGCCTCGACAACATTTTGCTCGCGTGGACCCTATGGCTCCCTCACTCACTTCTCGCCCTCGCATCGCAATTCTTGCCTCCTCCCAGTTGCCCCGTGTTCCTGCAAGGGGTGAATTTGAATCTCCCTCTGCTGCCTGCTTCCCTCCATCCATCCAGCTTTTGTCAAATGGACAGTGCGGTGCGGTGTGTCTTTCGCTCGCCACTCCTTCAATTTGTCTCCACTCCACGCCCCTGCTGTTCGCTCCCGCTTCGCTCACACCGATCTCCGACCTGATTGATTCCGTCCTCACCGCAAACGCCGCAGGCACCGTAACCACAAGGAGCACCTCATATAACACCATCGTTAGTCGGAATGGAGAAAAGCACGTTGAGAGGTTTGCATTGATGACTTTGCAAAAAAGCAGCAGAGGGATAGCAGCCATGTCGCCGTTGTCGCACTCGTTGTCGTCATCGTCGTCGTCGCAACGTTCCGTCGTCACGCCGTGGGCCGTCGCGTGCGTTCTGCTGGGGCTATTCGCGTTGGCCGCAGGGAGAAAATGGGAGCCGTCGCAAGGTATACTGTGCTGCGCAGCGCTTTACTGTGCCATGTTGTGCTATACGATGCTAGAGTACCTGGGGGAATAAAAAGTGCAACTTAGTACTTATGAGTTGAGTCAATCCGACAGCCCGTTCGCGCCGCGTGCTGCTACTACTACGACGCGCGACCGCCGACACAATCATCATGCACTAACGCAACTCTGTTTTTTCTACGGCTGTTCTTTCCCTCCCCGCCTCCTCCGCTCCTCCCACTCCCACTCTCTTTCTCTTTCCCCCTCCCTCCCCCCTTCTCGCTTCCCCCATCCCGCCCCTATCCCCCTCCCGCTTTCCTTATGGCGCGTTGGTGGGTGCGCGCAGCGGCGGTGCTGCTGCAGTGCATGAAGGAGTGGAAGGCGGACTTCTTCGGGTGGTCGTACAGCTCGCAGTGTTTCCAGGCGGAGCTCGTCACGTGTGACGAAGACGGCATGGTTACCAGCATGTGAGGCTCGTGGGGGAGGAAGCAGCAGCAGTAGGAGTAGTAGAATTTAGTACCGGACGTTTACTTACCTTCTGATTCGACTAGAACGGCCACGTGGTTACCAGCATTTGAGGAAGATTAGAGTAGCAGTAATGCACTCGCACTCGGTGCCACACGCCACTCCGCACCGCACCCCAGCACCACGCACCCCACACCTCAACCACACCGGCAGGAGGAGCATATTCTCCCATGCCACCACACCACCATGGCATCGTGCCCACTTGATTTGTTGCGCCACTCGCAATGGTCTCTCTCTCCTCAAAACTGCGCATGATTCGCTTTTGCGTGGTGTGTGCGTGTGTGTGCGTGCGTGTGCGTGCGTGTGCGTGCGTGCGTGTGCGTGCGTGTGCGTGCGTGTGCGTGCGTGTGCGTGCGTGTGTGTGCGTGTGCGTGTGTGTGCGCGCGCGCGTGTGCGTGCGTGCGTGCGTGCGGGGGAGCGCAGGAGCCTGGTGGACATGAGGCTGGCCGGCAGTATCCCCTCCTCTATTGGCCTGCTCACTCGCATGACGTACTTGTGAGTGCGCCGTGTGAGAGGAGTAGGAGGAGTAGGACTTGTGGGGGAAGTGGGACGAGTTAGGCGAGTGAAGGAAGTTGGAGCGTGGGGCAGGTGCGGGGCGGGAAAGGAGGGCAGGGAGGGCAGGGAGGGCGGGGAGGAAAAGAAAAGCTGGTGAGGGAAGTACATGTTGTGGTGTGCTCTCTGGGTTCGCAGGGGCTACAGCAAGCCCAGAAAGCAGCCTATTGTTTCCGGTGGTGATCTGCCACATGTTTGCACTGCCTGTTGAGTACTCTCTGCTGTGCCTCTCTCTCCTGTGCTGCATGATACTGTGCGTTTACTTGCGTACACACGCTCTGCATGCTTACTTTCGCACTTTGTTGTTGTGTCGCATTGTCACCAGGGACTTGAGCGGCAATCACTTGGGCAGCACCATTCCGCACTCTCTCCAGAAACTCTCCTACATGGACACCCTGTGAGTGGCAGACACACACAGCAGCAGCAGCACCACCACCAGCACCTCCACCACCACCACCACTGTCACGACCGCCTATGTCTGCCCAACTTCGCCCAACGCCTTCCATCTCTCTCCCACCTCCTGCTAGCACCCCCCATTGCTTCCATGGTCTTCCATCTATCCTCACCTACCGAACCGCATACCCTCTCTTCTTGCAAGTTTTGGCTTGCTGGCTTACCTGCTGCCTCCCTTGCTGGCTGCCTTGCTGACTTGCTTCCTGGCTGGCTCTGTGCGTGGCAGCAACCTGGCGAAGAACGAGCTGAACGGGTCCATTCCTGAGTTCATCGGCTCCCTCACCCGCACCACCTTCCTGTGCGTCACCCACCTCGCACACATGCATGCGCATGGATGCATGGATGGGCATTTGTGTGAATGTATAGAAGGGCACAGGTGTGCGTGTATGGGCATGTGCTGGATTGCTGGGCTGCATAATCTACTCCTGGGCCCATGCTGTCAAGCACATACGCTCCTCCTCCCATCCACTGTCCGTCCCTCTCACCCGCTTCGATCTCCCAGGATTGCCCCTAACTAGTTTCCCTCAGCCTTTCGCGCTATAATTAATCTCCATGCCGACACACACGCGCTGCCGCTCTCAATACCCTCTCACCACCCTCCCACCACCCCCTCACCCATGCTCACCCATGTCAGCCAACGCTATCCCAACTCATCCTCCCCTTCTCTCTCCCCCCATCCTGCCCTCTCCCTGGCTCTCGTCTCTCCCCACCACCTCACACCATCTCGGAGCAGCAACCTGGCGGGCAACAAATTCTCCGAGTCTGTGCCGTCCAGTATGGGCAACCTTCTCTCCCTGCACTACCTGTACGCTACTCGCTCACTTGCTCGCTCGCATGCTTGCTTGCCTGCTTGCAGGCTTGCTTGCTTGATTGTGGAGTGAATTCGATGAATCTCGAATTCCGAAACAGTGATGCGGGACATGCTTGGCCACTTCACCATGCTAAACCTCGCTTCACCGTCCTCCACCGCACTCCACAACGCGTTGTCATGAGTCATGGCATCGCGTGCTTCATCCTCTCCGGCCGCGCCCTAACAAGCAGCGTCACCACAAGCAACCATCCGCGCCTTTCTCTCCATCCAGTCGCTTACGTGCCATCACCCCCTGCTTCTCCTCTCCTCCACCCTATTGCAGGGATATCAGTAACAACTCTCTTACAGGTGCTCTCCCTCCGTCACTGGGCAACCTTACAGATCTACGGAGCCTGTGAGTCAGTCAATCGCTGCACACACACCCATCCCATCCCATCCCATCCCATCCCATCCCATCCCATCCCATACCATGCACTACATCTCCTATCGTCCGTTCACCTAGCTAATGTCCCCTTTTCCCCCTGCCTTCCCCTCCCCGTCCCTCCTCTCCACCCCACGCCATACCTCCCTCCCCATACCGTCCCGGTTCTCGCTGCTCGTGTGGCAGCAAGTTCAACTCGAGTGTGGCGGCGCCCGTGTGCCCCTCATCGGGAGAGTGCACGGTCAGGCAGAACTCCTCTTCCGCCTTCTGCTCCATCTGCACTCGCTTCTGCAAGACCTGCGCAGGCAAGCACCCCCTTCTCTCTCCGCCCCCTTCCTTCCCCCTTCCTCCCCCTCCCCCCTCTCCCCTCCCCCTCCTTTCTCTTGCTATCTCTTTCAAACAGGCCGTAGGCATTTTCATCTTGGTTTCAGGCAACCAGACACTCGTGTGTTGTTATCATCTCAGCTCCCAGCTCTCATGCCCCTTTCCATTCTTCTCTACTCCCTGTACTTGCCTTGCCCCCAACAGAGATGTTCGCTGCCTCAGCCCCCGAGTCTCAGCCCGCTCCGCAACCTCCTCTGCCTTCCCCTCCCTCCCTCCCTTCCATTGCACCTGCCTCCGCCTCTCTCCCATCCCCCGCACCCGCATCACAGCCTGCTCCTGCATATTTCGCCCCACCCTCCCTTTCCTCCATTCCCCTTGCACCACCCTCCTCCCCTCCTGTACCTGCACCTGCCTCGAATGTCACCAACGCCACGAGTACTCAAGAAAACACAAGTGGTGTCAGCAGCAGCACTGCGAAGGGAGTGTATGGATCTCCAGTGGCAATGGCGGTGGTTGCAGCTGTGGTGACAGCATTGGCGGTGGCATGTCTGCTCGTGGGTGTGCGCTGGGCGATGAATAGAAGAGATGGCAGTAGAGCAGGGAATAAGGATGCGTGGAACCCTGCATAACTGTTGAATAAGTGCACATTCTTTCGTTCTACTTGGAGTCTGTATCCATGTTACACAATCTTTGTAACTGGAAACACGTCTGTAAGGATTTACTAATCCTTACTGAGGCACTCGTTAGCGAGGCCATCCCGAGGGTCACGCGAGGAACCTTTTCTTCCTATTTCGTCGCACCAAACCACTCCTGAGTCGCCTCCGCACCAATCGCAACCATCACCGAGCCATCCTCGCCCAACCTCCCCGCCTATCTAGGAATTCCCCTATTTAGGCCTCGTCACTGTTACGAATAGTAATACTTGAATATTACTGTGCACTCCTCACCGCAGCAAAGAGAAGCACGCAGTATCGCGAATGAACACGAAGCTTCAGACGGTTGGAAACAACTCGAAGCGTCAGACAGGTGGACGCATCTGAACCGTCGGAGCACACAGCATCAGGCAGCTGCAGGCAAGATAGTTTCGGCGGGAACAGTTTCGTAACTGTTCGCGCCGCACGGTTGGGAATGTATTTGAATAAGGGAATGTACCCCTTAGAGTACATGGCTAGCTAGGTCGATTCATATTCCCCTGTACTCTTATTTATATCGTTGTATTTGCATGTCTTAATCATCTCAAGCATTTACATTCACTCTGCTATTGAGGTCAAGGGCCCACCAACACCACTTCTCTGCGTGCGAACCTTCCATAGTAGATCCTAGGCCACGATCAATTTCTGATCGTAGCATGGTATGAGAGCGACTCAGGAATCCTTTGCACCGCCATCTCCGAAATCCGCGACATTCGGAAAGTGGCGTCCGGCACACGATCACGTGTAAGAATGGCCGGAGGATCTGGAGGTCAGACGAATCTGACGGCTAAAGCACAGCCCAACCCGGCTGCGACAAACGAGGAAACGACGACGATTCCTTCCGCCGTCCTCGCACAACTGCTTCAGCGACTCACGAGCATGGAGCAAAGGCTCCAGACATTGCGGAATGGCGATGCGGGAACTTCTTCCCAACCCACTCAACCGGCCTCAAACGGCCAAAACTCCGGCCCGCAAGGCTTCTCCCTAGATACGAATGGCTCAACCCCAAGACTCCCTGTCCCAGCGATGAAGCAATTCTCTCCGCGCAATCAAGGTTTTTGAGCATATAAAAAATAAAGACAAGTGTGTGCTTTGACGGCAGAGACTTTTACACCTGGAGCTTCGAGATGGAGCTGCTGCTGCAAAACGCGCAGATTTATCATTCTTTCGACGGGAGCTACTCGGGACCTGCTGAGGACACCGACGACGCAAGGACTCGCTATTATGACGAGTCCCTGATGGCGTACGGGATTCTTCTGCGTAACATGTCGCCGGTGGAGCAGCTGAACATTCGTTCATACAAGACATCGACTGCCCCAGCCCTCGACGCTTGGCGCCACCTGAACGGCGTGTATCAGCCCAAGGACTCCGTCTCCTCGAGCCGACTACTCCAGCAACGGCTGGAAACTAAGATTACCTCAGGGGAGAAAGTCAACAGCTACATCAACCGCTCTCAGAGCCTTCGCGATCAAATCGTGAAGTTGGGAAGCTCGATTTCCGAGGAAATCTTCGTGAACATCGTGCTTCGAGGGCTTGGCCCAGAGTGGCGGCCCTGTAAGGCGCTCCTCCGACAGCAGGGGGTCATCTCGGAGGCCGCTCTTTGCGCCGCCCTTCTCGTCGAACAACAGGATATGGATCAGCAGCGACCAGCCCCACGACGAGAACGCGAACGGCTCGCCTTCTACGCCGACAACAACGAAGAGCGACGACCGCGATGCCTCTACTGCAAAATCTGCAGAAACTTCGGGCATTTGGCGGATCAATGTAAGTTCCGATCTCGCCCTCGCCAGACCAATCCGAGCAACTGGTCCGGCCGACAAGACGCACGAGGCGACGTGCGCCCAGCTCAAGGGTATCGACCCCCACCCGCGCGCAATCTGAACTCAACCGTTCAGCAGCAGCAGCAGCAGCCATCAACTGCCCCTACGCGCAACGTCATGAGCAACATGGCCATGACAGGCGAGTCACGTCGTCGCCGTGTTCGCTCACCCTCACCTGAGCCAGCACCACACCCCATCGGCGCGTTCACCAACAACAACCCGTTCAGCCCGCGCCGCGACTACAACGACGACGACGACCAAGACTGGAACCTCCCAGCCCCGCTGCTCGAAAGTCCCCCGCACATACCAGACATGCGGGTGGCGCCACTCGGTTGGCTCTCGCGCGAGCAATTTCTGAAGTTTGACACCCCGCACATCGTCACACCGCGATTGGCGGTGCTCGCACGTGACGACAACAAGCGCTACAACACCTGGTACCTAGACAGCTGCTGCGGCCAGCATATGGTGGGCTCCGAGCGTTACATATCCAACGCCGTCCCCACCCCTACAGTCACTTACGTCACTGTCGCAAACAACACGCGCCTGCGTGCAAGGGCATAAGGCATTGTCGTACTCAAAGCACGTGGAAGCCGCACGCACATCACGCTTAACGATGTGCTGATCGTCCAGAACTTGCGCTTCAACCTCCTGTCCGCCGCACAGCTCATGGAGTGCGGCGTCGACCTCAGCACGGATCGCGAGACGCGAGACATCCTGCTGCACTACGAATCGCACACATTTCCCCGCAGGCAGATCGGACGAGCGCACTCCGCAAATGGAGTGTATGTCCTAGATTTCGACATTTCCGACTGCACCGGCGACTCGCACGAGTTGATTGATCTCGTGCCAGTGCGCTTCGAGCACATCCACCGCAGGGATTGGAAGCACCCTGACGGCAGACCATGGGTGCCGCATCATCCCCACCCACGCGAAACGGCATTACACAACCCCAATCCAGATGGCATCTGCAGGGATTGTTACACGCCGACGACATCAACGAGCGCGATTGCCGGCCGCGGACTCGCCGCCATCATTGAAGCAGAGCGCCACGCGCCCCCAGAGGAAGGGATGTCGCAGCTCGAGCTTGAAGTTACTACCCACGGCATTTTCGGCACGCCATAGCATCCCCTCATCGGTCCCCCCTCACAGCACCTTCAAGGCATGCTGCGCGGAACTGGCGTCGGCACCTTTGATGCCCATGGTGAGCCGCGACCCTACACCTACGAGAGGTTTCTGGCCATCTACTCTCATCGACGCGACTCATCGAAGAAACTTACCGTCGAGCAAGAGGAAGAATTGGCGCGCCGCGAAGCTGAGGAGCTTCGCCAACAGAGCCTCGCAGAAGCACGTGGGACCTTCGCCTGCGCCACCTGGGGAGCTGAGGCTGAAGAAAGTGCCTCCAATGAAGGGGGGTGGGGGAGCACTGGAGGATGGGGATGTCAGAATGTTATCTCATGCTCTAGCCTGTAGTGGGGTGCTCTATAGCGAGTACAACCTTCTAGGGTTTGCTATTTGTATCCCCATTCTTGCTAGTGCAACCCCTCTTCTTTCTTCTAAACTTTAACATGCTATCAGAGCAGGTCGATCCCCTTGGATCGATCCTGTGGGGGGTACCACCTCCTCGCTTCCGCTGCAACTTTTTCTTCCGCCGTTCGCCCCGACGCGGCGCGGCGGTTTTCTGCCCGCCGTGCGCCCCGAGGCGCGCGGCGGTTTTCTGCCCGTCGTGCGCCCCGAGGCGCGCGGCGGTTTTCTGCCCGCTGTGCGCCCCGAGGCGCGCGGCGGGCTTCTGCCCCGTCGATCGCCGCGTCGCCCTCTGGTGGCGCCGCGACGGGCGACGGGGACCCGCCGCGGCCCCGCCGACCCACTTCGCGGCCCCGCCGCCTCAAGTCGCGGCCCCGCCGCCTCACTTTGCGGCCC